GATTAGCAGATTAGATTTTAATGGCAGCTCATAAATACAGAAAGTATTAAATAATCATTATATATTTACATATTGTTTTAATAAAATTACAAATAGGAAATACATACGTCTTGATTTGCCATTTTTATTATAAAACTTCAGAAAATTATAATAATAAACTCTTAATTTTATTTTATAAAATTATTAATATTTTTATAAATATATAACGAGTAGAATTTCAATAAAATCAGCTATTAATATTTTAAAATTAATTAGCCAAATTCTGTTAAAATATTAGATTTTTTGTTTTGTTTGGAGTCATATGTTTTTTATTTTGATTAAATCGCATTTATTATTACAATTACAAGACATGTAACAAGACATGTAAAAATTAAAGGATACAAATACAATACATATGACATGACTAAGTATTCAAAAAAGGGAGATAGGTAATAAATATTAATATCTTAATATTTATATTAAAATTGTACCTTATAAATAATTAGAAATTTTAAATAACAATTTTTGTTTTAAATTGTGAAAAATATTATCAGTTTAGTTTTGTTGTTTAATATAAATATTCCAAATTAAGGTGTTAAATAATATTGGTTTTACTATTTCAAAATGAAAATAAATAGAATTTTAATAACTTATTAATTAGGCCATCACTCATTTAAATATTAAAATACCTTAAATAAAATTTCAAAAATATGAGATCTTAACCTGATTTTGGATTGACTATAGTAAAAATTGTTATAAGTTGACCAAAACTATGATTGATCTTGCAAAAATTCTTCTATGTAGAATTTTTCTAATTAAAAGAAAAGAATATATATTGCAGAACTTAGATTGTCTTATTTGCCATTATTGACTGTTGGTGCTTATCCGATGAGATTTACACTGGTACCACTCTTTTAATCAATAAGACATTGGCCAATATTTGATATGATATAAGAAAATTATTAATATAATATATATTCAGAAAAGCCACAAATTAATTTATTGATATTATCATTTTTTATTTAGCATTTATAATTAATTTATGTGAGTGAAAGAAGGATGGATAATAATTAACACCTTATTTTCTTATAAGTATATATGCAACTTTTTTTTTATCTATCACTCAATGATAGCAGTAACATTTTTACTTACTCATGCCCCAAATATTTTTTTTAGGGGAAGGGACATAATTTATTTGTCATCTTGCTAATTTTATAGAAAGAACAAATATTATATTTTAAGATTAGATATTTTGATCATATTTTGATTTTTATTAAATTTAGTAATAGGAAATCTAGGCCAAAATTTTGTGTGATAAATAGAAAATTTGGACTTAACATGAATATAAAATTTAGATTTGCCAAAACAGAAAAAATAAGGGCATGTCAAAAAATATAAAACAGCTACACACACTTGGTAGTTGATAAACCTCCAGTGATGCTATTGGTATTAGCCACTGGTATTAGTTAAAGTTAAAAGGATTGACCAATACTGCCATGAGTATCAACCCAATACTAACTATTGTTATTGATGTATCTATGCCCTAATAAAAAGTTCAGATATATTTATTTTATATTTCATACCAGAGATCTGCATGGCATGGCTCATGGGCAAAACTAAAATAAACTTTTAGGCCAGAGTAACCACAAAATACTTTTTTAGGCTGATTGCATTATATGAAATAGTGAGGCCAGACTACCCTGATTTTTTTTTAACTGAGCAAGTCAAGCCTATTACTTTAATTTCACAAAAAATTATTAGCCAGTGCAACTTGCACTGAATGTCTTTTACAGGCTGGGCTGAAAATCTTTTTAAAAATATCAATGCGGGCATGCTTATCTATTCTTATTTCTTTGTGAATAGGTAATTAGCTGCGTTGAGCCAAATGGCTAAGCTCATTCTGACGATTTTATCATAAAAATCTATCTTGAATTGACTTGAATAATGATATTTATTATTCTAAATTTTTCAACTTAAGTCACATTTAATTTGTTTACAACTAAACTTCAAATGAGTCCAGTTACTTGACTTGGCACAGCAAATTTACAAAACTAATTGTGAGGTGGCTGATTATTGTAAAACATTTATAATTTACAGATCAATTTTTTTTTAAATACTACATATCACACCTATTAATATAATGATTTCTGTTAATTCTTCAAATTATACTCTTCAAATACAATCTCTATCATGCATTTGAAGTTAACTTTATCTTTATGAAAAATTGTAATAATCGATTTTAAAAAAAACAATACAATTGTTGGAAAAAAGGGAGAAGTCTAATCCTACTATTGTTAATAAAAAAAATTTTTTATACATTATTATCATTTGTAAATTTTCTATCTTATCAATTAATCTTCAAGATCACTTTAATTAAGAAATACTATATACAGCTTTCACACGTTTTGATTTTGGATTTCAGATATTTTATAATTAATTTTACCAGGATTTGGGACCTGGTAAAATTTACACCTTTTCAGTAAGGGTCCAAGTTCAGAATTTATTTTAAAAAATTACGTTCGGTTATGTGCCCTCGGTCTAGATCAGATATAATTAGAAATTACTATTAAACGGCTTAAACTATTTTTAATTACATCTAAAAGTTTTATTGGCGAAATAGGAATATTATCATAATTGTATTAGGATCAACAAAAAAAGTCAATCTTTGACATAACCTTATATTTTTTAGTTTTATAAGTAATTAATCATAAAATAAACTAAATTTCCTGAACAAATACAGCCCTCTGGGGAGGGTGTCGGATTCATGTTCATTTTCTAGTCCACGTTTAGTAGGTTTTAGAAAAGTGTTTTGGGTCAGAATCCATCTGTTTTTCGTATTTAATCGATAAATCCCCTTTTCCCTAAGGCATTTAAAAAAATATTAAATGTAAAACCAATTGTTTTCTCGACTTAAGGCTTATAAAAAGCCTTATATCCCATAATAAAAATGGTGGGGGGGGGGTGTCCAAAAGTTTTTGGGTTCATTAAGAAAATACTATATGGGTTTAGTGGTTAATTAGGGCTTGATTACACCCTTATGGATCATTCTAAGGAGACGATGCTATTTAGGAATGTAAGAAAGGTCTTATATCGCATGTTACGCGTATATATCATAGAGCACGCTTGCCTATCACCTTCGATAAGGTTAAGTTTTCCACATCCGCTTATATATCGCCTCCATTTATAATCTTCCCCGCGTATACTATTTTGATCCTTTTTCTCCCATCTTCAAAATGTCCACCCCAATAATAGAAAGAAAAAACATTAAAAATTTTATATCTTTTGGTATAACTGGACATGAGCTCTTTTTTTTATTGTATTATCCTCTTTCTCTTAAAAAATAAAATAAATTTTACACATTATTAACATGTGTTAGATAAGATATTTATTTCGATTGGTTCTATAATAAAAAATGAATTCGCAACTATTACGATGTTCAATTGGAAATAATATTTTAGAAATAACCTTAATAAAATTAAATGCGATAATTTAACTTTTGATTATCTTCAGTCAACTCAAGTTGATAATTATAGTGCTATTTAATAAAAAAAATGTACGATATAAAAAAAATTACATTAATAACGGGGTTATCTTTCTAAAAAATAAAATATTGTATTATTTACCCCCCTCCACTCTTCCATTATTTATTCATATAATCTCTTCACTTCATCCCATTTTCTCTTACTACCAAATGAACTAAAAAAAATTGATCAATAATTTATATATATTTTTTTTCTAATACATAATTTTTTATCACTTTTCTGGTTCTGTATTTATAGCGCCATTTATCAAAAAAAAATTTTTTTTGAAACAAATGACGCAAGCTTGACGTGTAAACTTCGAAACTTTTTTTGCCTTATATAATCCCAATCGATCGTATTCAGTAGGCGTATTTAAAAACGAATATAAACCGGATAATGAGTTATTCACATTCGATTATTTTAAATAAATCGAATAATTTACTATTCATATTCGAGCGTTTAATAGAATTTACTATTCTCATTTGTTTGGTATAACTAAATATTTTCCAAAAAAAATGAATTGTTGAGATTTAAAAGTGATATTTGAAAAAAAGTTAAAATAATAGAGTTTCCTCAAGGAACATGCTATATTTCAAATATTTATAAATAATTTTGAATATTTACGAATAATCTCCAATATTTACAAATCATTCATAATTAGTGTTTTTAAACTGCTCGATTAGAGCCGATTAAAAAAAAAAGACTTGCATAACCCTCGAGATTTTGTTAATAGATGTTCAAACCTTTGTGCCAATCTATTAGTAAAATCTTAAGGCTTGCGTAATATCTATCTGGATAAAATATTGAGTTGGCCGTTTTTAAGCCGTTTATACTATTCCGAATAATAGTAATATTTTTAAGTTTTAGGAATAAATCGATCGAATAATTAATACAAATTATTAGACAGATAATATATTTTCCATATTCATATTCGATTCGAAAAATTCTAATCTGATAATTTTGTTTATCATATTCGTAAAATACGAATCGATTCAAATATCAAACGAATAATTAGTTTTTTATAATTCGGAACAAAAGGATAAAATTTGGGCTGGGTGGAATTTTTTTAAACCTACAAATTACGACGAAAAATATATGGTTGATAAATTACATGATAGATATTGGATAATTTGAAACATCCATTCGCTTCTCATATTTTGGTCTACCCTTTGTAACCAATTTACAAAAATACAAACCAACATTTATTTTTAAATTAACTTTTAAAAACCTTAGCCGGAAAATAAATAAAACTCGGGACGGGCCTTGGGTATCCCTATTGATCTCAGATTTTGATATTATATAATGTCAGCTGAGACTATAGTATAAAGCCGCTACAATCACCTGATTTATTATTTGGGCAGAGGGTGCTAAAATTAATATATTTTTTTAAAAAAAATAACGTCTCATCTGATGTTATTTCCTCCATAATCTGTGCATTTTCAGGCACATTTCCTTAATTTTAATGCATTTTGTATTATAATTTCAAAAAAATATTAAAAGGTTAAACGCGTATTCCCAATCTCAATCCATAAAGAACAATTCTATCCTGAACGCGGATACAAAAATTTTGGGAGGTTGCGTGAAAGAAATTTTATATTTGCTTTAATTCTTTACAATTACAAATATAATTAGAGAAAAAGAAAGAAAAAAAAATAAGAAGAGAGAAAGTAAGAAAAAAAAGAAGAGAAAGAAAAAGCCTTCACGTGAATTGGAAAAGGGTTAATGCAAAGTCATACCAGAGGGTTCTATAGTGTTGATATTGAGCGTTTGATAGTCATACATTTTTTTATAAATATGTATAGGTGACAGCGTTCGGGTAAAAACCTTTACATAAAATTTGTAAAAATTAACGAAAGATTTTATTGTTTGATAACTTTAATTCTTTACCTAATATATTAATAGGATTTTTTTTATTCTAAATTGGTTTAAAAAATTTCGGCGCTTAAGGGAAAAAATTTGTTTTTTTTTCATCCATCCCGATCCATTATCGGCACCAATGCATTTAGACCTCATCTGCCCATCGCCATTGTTACTTGTTCCACGTTTTCTCGGCGTAATTCCCCACCTGTTTTTGTCCCTTTAGGGCCAATATTTTGGATGCTGCTCGAACTGTTGCCAGACCGATCTCGTCCATATTAAATATATTGTTCATCTCGAAATTATTGTCGTTTATACATTTTTCCTTCCCTCTAACTAAACAGAATAGTAAAGAAAGAGGCTAACTGTTCAAATGCCAAGCCTTGGGGAAAAATTTTCTATTTTTAGTTGCCATTATTCTGCATTTTTCATTTATGCATTAGTTTTAATTTATTCATGATTTCTGTTATTTTTTTTGGCCTTACCTTTTTATATATATTCATATGCATAATTTTTACCTTTTAAGAAAAACTTTTGTCCTTTAAATTCATTCTCATTTATTTTTTAATTTATTAATAATTGGACTTTTTGATTTTTATTCATTTAACAGGTCTCTCTGCTGAGTTAGATATTATATTATGTTTAAAAGATATTGCAAATATTATACATTTTTGGAGCTATTTAAATATATCCAACCAAAGTCTCATCACCTTCTAACGAAAAAATTCTGGTATTTGCTATGCGCTACGGTAGTTATTTTGTTTTCTTTTTTGTATTTGCTACTATATCATATCAGATTAGTTCTAGGGATTTTAAGTAAGTTAGATATTGATTTAACGGATATCTAAATAATAAATGGGGCGGTGGGATTTAAAAAAAAAATACTGATTCGATATTTTTGATTAATTTATGATTTGTATGTATAATGATATATTTTTTATTTTATACACAATTTTGTAAATAATAAATTGGCAAAAGGAACCAAAATCCAATTTATTTATGTTTAAAAAAAATTGAATTACCTTTATTATCTGCAACAAGAAATGGATTTAAAAATAACTAACGACTCACATTCAGGAATATTGTTGTTAAATGGCTCGATTTAACCGGTTTAAAAACTCTCTGGTATGGCCTAGGTTAAGTGTGATCACTTCTAGTTAAGGATTCTGTTTCATTTATACATATATATATTTTCCAGATGATGTAAGTGAACTGATTCAACGATGCCTCATAATAAAAAAAGACCACAAGGGTTACGGCTTAACGGTTAGCGGAGATAATCCGGTGTACGTGCAATCCGTGAGAAAAGGTTAATTTTATTCATTCATTTATCCCTCGGACCTTTTCACCTCCCATTTTTATTTCTAACCCATTTTCTATTCCTTGAATTTCAACATTTTTTTTTGTTTTTTTAGATGGCGCTGCTGACAGGGCCGGAGTTCGCGAAGGTGACAGGATTATCAAGGTTCGAAAATAAATTTGGAATAATTCTTTAATTTATTAATATTTTGCTTTATTTTTTCAGGTGAATGGCAATTTGGTTACCCAAGCTAATCATTTGGAAGTGGTCAGACTTATTAAAGGTTAGAAAAAAAATTTTAAATGATTTTTTTTAATTCTCGAACGATGGTAGTTGAAGAGTTTTTTTAACCAAATTATTGTATTATAATATATTTTTCAAATTATGTAAGCATTAAAATATATTCGTTTAGGCACAGGATTGATATAACAGCCATTAACAGCACTTTACTAGTTATCATTTCATTGCACATTATATGATATAACCTATTTCTTAGTTTAATTCTTATTCAAACTCATAGTGTCTCCTCTATCATTATAAATTAGATTTAAAGAAGATACTATTTTAAAAGACGATACAAGTTTGAAAAAAAACACTATGTCACAAAAATTGATATAAACATAGATCATTCCGATGTTAATCCGCGATATGTATATATATAATAGGTATAATTCCCACCTTTAGGTGTCAATAAAAGTGTGTACTAAAAGCTTTAAACAGATTAATTCATAAAATCTGGACAAAAAACTCTTTTGGAATTTCTATGGTATAAAAAAATTAATTAGTCATTACAAAGATTTATCGATTCTCAATATATAACATTTATTGGTATTTTATTTTATCAATCGTCATTCTCTACCTACAATTTATATTTTTTATAAAATAAAAATACAATTCAAGGAACAAAAGTATAAATAATTGAATTAAATTATAAAATGCATCACATTGTTTTTAATAATTAATTCCTTTCAATTAGTCATCGCTTTTAAAAAAGTGATTAATTAGATAATAACTCGATTTTAAATACATCCTAAAGTCGTGTCATTGTTGGTCTTTATATTTGAAGCTTATTTCTCTTTAGATCAGTATATTCCTAAGACAGGGCAAATTTCCCTCTTTTTTCCTACCTACCTTCCTTCCATCTTTTCTTCCTTAATTTACCCTCACGTAAAAAGTTTTATTCAGTTCAATAAATTGCATCATTAGCTCATATAAAGGTTACTTAAGCTCACTCCAAAAAACATCATTTTTTTTTATTCTGACGAAGGTTTTTAAGAAAAAACATTTTGATTGACATGCTGCCGTGTTCAGCACGGGTTTGTCTAGAGGCCTAACAACTACTTCCTGGCGCCTGCAGATACCTAGGCCTCAAATTATGGGAAGGGTAATATTTTATTTTTGGGAAGTTCCCAAGATGTTTGCCTTAAGCCTTCGGTTTCTTCGTCCCATTCCCGACGATATGGTTATTCTTTTTTAGACGATTTAAATTGGTTACCTTTACAAAGAAACGCATATTTTAATATTAACTTTAATAAAATGCATTATTTGTCAAAAAATATTAAGTGAATAAAATTTTCCGAATCTGATTTGGAATTAGATTGAATCCGTTAAATGTTACCTAATCCTACATTCACAGTTACCGCGAATTCGCGGCGAAGTATACAAAAAAGAATGTAAAATTATTGTATTTTATATCATATTTTTTATACTTAACCGCGAATTCGCGCTAACTTTGAACGCAGGGTAACCCACTTAAAAAAATTTATTATCTTACATCTTGTTAAAAATGATTACATAATTCATTCATTCATTACACAATCATATTATAACTTTAAAAAAAAAAATTTTAATTAAAAAAAAAATAAGGAAAAAAGCAAATATTTTTCTAAAACAATGTTATATTTTTTTTGTATTTAATAAAAAATAAAATAATATTAAAATCATCACTTTATCTTAAAGTTTGAAACGAAAAACCTGCTTAATTTCGAGCAGAGGCCGCTGAATTTTCCGCCCTACATATAGCACCCTACATATATTTTTTTAAATGTATACATTTAGGGACAAATCATTTTATTCGAACGGTGGCTCAAGTTAGGCAGCTTCTTTTATAGCGTAATTACTACCAATTTTTTTGTAATATATAAAAAAAATTTAAAAAACAAAAGGAAAAAAATAAATAAAATATTAAAATATCATTAACCTCTATTTGATGAGCGCTGGCGTATCTTTTTAAAATAATATTATTTCCACAATCTTTATATTTAAAAAAAACAAAACAAAATGCTACATTTTTAACATTGTATTTTTTTTAAAGTTGTAACTTGTAATAAATAGTAAAAATGATAAAACGTTCAAATGCATTAATTTATATTTATTAAAAAAGGAAAATAATCAAATCATACCTTCTTTATTACGTTTTTTATTTTTACTATTATAAAATTAATGAAACATTCAAACGTAAAAAAAAAAATTGTTTCCCTTATAGCATATAGCACTATTTTATTTTTATATTCTTTTTTTTGTCTTTTCTTCTTTTTCTCCTTATTCTCATCCGCGTTTAGATAAATATCGGTATACACGTGAAGAGAACAATTAAATATTTCGGGAAGGGTAGCTTAAGAAAAATATTTTTCAGGCCTGACTCAATTCGCAATTTTTTTAGATGTTTGAATCAAGCAAAGTTATATCTTTTTCCACTATAAAAAAAATATTTTGGGTCGTGCCTAGTAACTTGTGTTTTACGAGACGGTCGACATTTGCAAAATTATTTTAAGGGCAGGGTCGAAAAACATTTTCGAAAATTTTTGCGGGTCGGGCAATATTCATCTCTAAATTGTAATTCTTGTTTACCTTCCTTACCATTAATCGTGACTTTCGATGATCCTTGGTTCCACTCCTTTTATTTTAAAGGGCGACATCTGCGTGAAATTGTCTATTTTAGGATAGATTGCACAAGGGCTGAACTATTCATTAAAATAATATTCCGTTCTTTGAAAACATTTTGCCTATACAAATATCTAACATTTTAGTTTATATTAATAACAAATATTTTGAAAACAAAATTTTTATTTTATCGAGTCCTTGTATTATTATGTCCAGGATTTGTAACCAACAAAATATGCATAACAGATATGAGAACATCTTAAAGAGACACATTTAAATCTGAAGTAGAGTAGTTAGATATAAGCTTAACACAGGGCAATTCATATTATGCAGTTGCAGATGGATAAAAATAAGCTTAACTTGACTTTTTCTAAATGGGCCAGATTCAACCTAAAAATAGACTAGTGATGGAATATTATCCCATATTAGCCTCTGAATGTGTATCTATCGGATTACGATACGAAAATCGGACATTGCAGATGTATTCAGGTGTAATTAGATTTATGCTAATAAAAAAATAATATAATAAAATCCAGGAGCCCCCAAAAGGAGTGAAAATAATTATAATATCTGAATTAATCTCATTAAAAGTGGGGGCCTATTCATAAACGAAGCAAAATCCATAATTCGAATGTAGATGAATAAGAAAAATTGGCCTACTGATAGGATGGGAAATATCTAAGAACTAAATATCTGATTTGCTCTAATATTTAGCTTATGATTAGTACTTATTAATTCCTCAATCAACTTTCCTGACCGAAGAAACCGAGTATGAACAAAATAAAAACTATATCACGAAATGGGTATATTCCCGAAGGCAGGGCAAGGGGGATTTATGGGCGAAGCTCCTCCCCCCCCCCCAATTTAGAAACGCCCTTCTTGGATAAATTTGACTACAACTGTGAATGTCAATACTTATTTAAATAATGGCAGATTGAAATATTTATATAAATGCTTCTTTATATTCCCTTAAATCGGAAAATATTAATAATTTTTTTATAGGAGTTTATTATATCAAAAAATTTTTTTAAAATAAGCACTGTATATAAAATCATTTTTATTAATAAAATGTATTTATTTAAAGAAACATGCCTAACCTTATAGACCTGCTTCTTTAATTTAGTTTACTTCTTTTACGGAGAACAGATTGACTCGTATAACCTTGTATTTACAGTTAGCACGATTTGCAAATAGAGAAATATTATATTTATATCATATATTTTATACTTCACCGCTTATTCGCCCTAACTGTGAATCGCGATTTTTTTTCTCATTTATATACCCTTGATTTCGGATCCTAATAATCTTAATTTTTAAGCTGGATTATACTGTAATGTATTTCTATCTACGACAGAATTTTCGCCCGACCTAAAAAACTATGCAAAATATCTAAGCGCATTGATTTTGTATGCTATGCAAAATTTCCCACAGATATGAACACAGCACTGCATGCTATGTATTTCCTAGCATAAATACCCCTCCCCCTCACTTACAAATCTTTTGACATGGATTTAAGTTTTGCGTAGCCTCCACAAAATCTTGAGTTTTATCTCATTACGATGTTAATTTTTTTAGAATTTATATTATAAATTTTCACTTTCTGGTGTGGAATTTTTGACCAAAGTAATTATGTCCGATGACCACAGAATTGTATCATATCGATAGTTGTGTTTGTTTAATCGTAGATAATTATTATATCAATTACCTTTTGAGTTCGTTAATATTGGTAAACATGAATTATTATTTTTTACTATATTATTATCAAATGATTTACTTCTCTTTTTTTTTCAATGGAATTATCTCATATTTATTATTTTTTAAAAAAGAGAAGAGGTTAAGGCTACGTTTAATATAATAATAAAAGTTAGTTCATTTAGTCGCGCAAGAAGTCAAAATACCATATAACTTTACCAATTCATAAATTATATTATATATATATCGTGCAACTTGTTTAATATAGAGCTTTTCACAATCTGACCAACTGCCCTGCTCAGACAGGCGGGGCTGGATTTTTCTCGGCCCCGTATATGTTGGATTTGGATTATAAACGGGAATAACAATTTTAATTTTTTTTTAAAAAAGATAAAATAAATATTAGTTAAAAACATAAGTATTTTGTCCGGTCCTTCTTCTTTGTCGCTCGAATTAGGCAGGTTTCAGAAAATCGTTTTTAAAAAAAATTTACCTTTAAAAATATTTTACCACGCGATATTTTAATAATTTTTTAAATATTATAATAATTAAATTATAGTATTTTTTACTTCTATTATTTAATAAAATCAAAACTTTATTAATTTTTTTTTATTCGACCAATTTATTCTTTTTTACCTGTGATATTTTTTTAAAACATTTGCGACAATTACTTGCGATATTTTTTTTTGGACAAAATTTTATATTCATGGATTTTCTTGCATTCTTTATTCGTTTTGATGTGAAAAAATGAAATTCGATATGATCCATGAAAAGGTTAATTTTTAGGCTCAGGTCTATCCGTCCACCTCTCACCTCTTTAACGCTGCGTTTAAAACGCTTGCCAGCTTAAAAAGTTGTAAAAATTTTATCTACTATCTTTTATCATTCTAAGAGTTTTTTTAACGTGGTAAAGAAATGGATCATCATAACCCAGTCATTTCCCAATAACTCTTATTGTAAAATATTTATAATCTTGCAGGGATTTCGGGGGAATGATTCTAGGAGGGTAACCTCTCTTTGGGGAAAGGAAGATCAAACTCGGCCTATTTTTTTGAACCGGCAACTTGTCTTAGATGTGCATCGAAGATTTTTTTTTATTTTGCTCGAGTTATCGATAAATAATATTTTGATCTCCAAACATCAGAGTAAGCAGGTTATATGGTGTAAATCAGAGCCCTTCAAAGATCGACTATCAGGTCCAGATTTTTTTTCAAATCGAATTTTTCTTATTTCTGGCGGTATTTTTGTTTGTTGATATGGAAGAAACAGTACTGAATAAAAGAATGCATTTTTGCAAAAAAAGTGATAGACTATAATACTCATCCGACATTTTGTAAATTAGAATAGAAATTGATAATTAAACTTTACAATATACGATTTTCCAACCGATTATAATTTTAAATTCATTTTTAAAGGAATCGTCCTTGGCCCTTATTAAAAAAAAACATTATTTCCCGGCCCGAGTTTATAATTTATTTATTTTTAGGCCCGGCCCCGGGTTATATTATCCCGAACCGGGTTTTTAATTAGTTTATTTCTGGGATTTTGAAAATTATGTCTAGAGCCCATTACGGGTACTTTGCCTGGCCTGTAAGTCTCTGATGTATTTTATTTCTTCATATTGTTCTAATTCTAATAGTAAAGGAAAATATAAATTAATTTAAAATTTTTATTTATGAAATTAATTAAGAACAAAAAATTATATGAATTGGGAAATGATGTATTTTTGCCAAACGTTTTTTTTATTAATGCGAATAATTTTAATATTATACTTCCTAATTAGATTTCATGAATTTTAAAATGCCATTTAAATTGATTTTAACGTTCAAATTTTTAGCCTTTCATTTTAGTTCATTTGAAAATTAATATCATATTAACTTTTTAAATTTAATTTTATTTCATTACATTTTTTTTTCCTTCTTCCAAATTATTTTTAAAAAAAGATTGGATTGGATTTTAGGAACGATTCTGATTTTTAATCGTATTTTAAACAATTAGTCAGATTGTAGGCAAAGATTACAGGCAAGCATATTTAGAGGGAGGACAATGAAACATTTGTTTACCCTGAAAAGGATTTGTTAAAAATTTTAATCGTTTACAGTCAGTATGATTTGATACTTTATAATTTAAAATTCATTTAAGTGATCCCTCCGAGTAATATTCTAGATAAGTTACTGAAAAATGAAGACACTCAATAATACTTTAAAGAAATACTGTCTTATTAGAAGACTACGCATATTACTGAAAATGGATTATTATTACTTTTATAGTATAATAATCATATAAAATCGCATTAGTTTAGAGTATATTTTTTTTGAATACGGTGAAACTTTGATAAAATATTGACTTTTTAATCCCTTTGAAAAGATGGTCAATTTTGAGAACTACATGATATTCCATATTTACAGTGTTTGAGGAACTAGTAGTTTCCTAGACCTCCTAATCTAATGAAACTGGAATTCCCTCCTCAGCACTAAAATATGAAATAATACAATGAATGCCGATTATCTATGTTGACAAAAAAGTTCTCCTTGAGAGTTACGGTACTGACTCATGTCTGTTATAGGTTCCTGGGAACCAATCTATATGTTTTTAGCACGATATTATATTTGAAAAATAATCTTTTATTTTAAATAAATCTTACAGCCGCGTCTTACGTAGCGTTAACGGTTCTAAGCCACTCTCCTTCCATCCTTAAGTCCCATATTTTCCCCGAGAGCAACAACGACAAGCTTTATTTAAACAAGAAACCTATCGCGAATCTCTCCTTGATTCCTTCCTCATCCTTTTCGTCTCCCCTCGACCCCAACGCTAAATTCAAAAAATTTACGCCCAACGAATTCCGAAATTCTGTCAACATTAATAACCAAAATACCACCGGTTCTTTCGTATCCCATATACCGACCCCACCCGCCCTCAGGTCCGTTAATCAGCAGGACATCGATAAAGAATCGGTATATATATATGCACACACTAGACATTTCATTTATTTATGCAAAAAAATGCCTTAAGATAATGTTGAACGAGTCGGCATTTTACATTTTTTTTGTTGCTTCGAGCGCCACTGCCCACATATGATTATAATAATCATTAAGAGGATTGGTAGCTCTGGGGTATACATTCTGATTGATTCACAAAAGGTCACTTTCCAGTTTGTAACATTTTCTTCTGAGAATGAACAAGGTTAAATGTGGTTAAGGTTCAGAGGATCGTCAAATATGGAGTAAGCAGCAATCGAAGCAAGTAAAAATAAAATACCGATTCATTCAACACACCCTTAAGTATACCGTTTAACATCAACAACAATTTTATTATATTACGCTTTGGGGTGGGGGGGGGGGGACATATAATTTTTCCCAAAAAATAAATAATTGTATTTAAACTTGATTTTTAACGAGTATTTTAATTTATTAACGTTGTTAAACGTTTCTTTTAACAAAAAAAATAGTACGTTACCTTAGAAAAAGTAACGTCGTTACTAATGGCGCTTTAAAAAATTTTTATTCTCTCTCTATATACTTCATCTTTTTTTTAAAGCTTGGTTAATTTTAATAATTGCGCTAAATTCATATGCTTAAGTTTGTTAAAAAATTAATAATATTTTTATAGAGATGCATGGATATGTTGGCTATCTTTTTTTTACCCCTCAAATATGTTTACGATTTCATAAAATGCTGGCCATGAGTTGTATGCTTAACACGTTAAAAATTTGTAACCTAAATGTACCCAGAAAAGGTCCTACTGATTTTTAATTTTATTGAGTTTCGATATTTTTAAAATTATCCCGTGTTATAGTGTTAGCTAGACCCCCCAAATACCATGTTGGATTCCTAATTTAATTGTATTTTTTATTATTATACGACTTACTATATTGAAGTCAACGTACGCCAATATTATGTTCCAATCATAATTTTTTTTAAATAACTAAATAGAAAAAATTATCGTCCACAAATATAATGTCGAGAAAATAACCTTGTAATAACGACTTTTATCGAAGATTAACAATATTAAGATCAGATTCTAAACCGCTTTTTCAATATATCACAAGGGATTAATAAAACAATTACAAATAATAATACCTTCTGAACTTATATCAGATACCAGCTGAGTCTGAATTTTCGGCGGCTTTGATTTGAAAAGAAAGTTTTTTATCAAGTCCGGCCCAAGCGACCCGGATTTTTATTTTTGAATTTTACGGTCCAACTCGGTTTTTTAAAGTTATCTTATTTTTTTTCCTGGCCCTTGCAATCTCCGAATAATATTAATAGTTTTTAAAATCTAATATATCAAACCATTTCCCTATTTTCTAACATTAAAACCATTGTATTAGGCTTGTTATAAAAACCCGATTCGGGTCGATTTTTAAAAACACGGTTAAGATTTTAGCCAAAATAAAATCATGTAAGCCACGAGATTAGGCCATAAAGGTCCAAACCTTTCTGCTATCTACGAACAAAATCTCCAGGCCTATATAATATTATTTTGGCTATAATCTTAATCAAGTCGTTTTTTGTTAAATCGACCCGAATCAAATTTTTTAACAACTCTTACATTGTACATATTAATTAACGATTAATATAAAATCAAATTAAGAAATATTATAATGTCAAACTAATTTTTTAGGTATTAATTTGACCCCTATTATGGTCGATAATTTTGGATTGGGATTTTTTTAAATGACAGAGGAAATAATACTTTTATCAATAACACCCTATTGGTCCGTTTCATTTTTTTTTACCAAATTATCATTTAGATTCGTTCCAAAAATATTATATTTTTAATACCTAGCTTATTATTCGTTGAAAAAAAATACCTTTTTTTCGAAAAATAAATATTAACTCGAGGCACTTGCTTTGTTTCATCTTACGATATTTATTATATTAATTTAATATTAGTCTATTCATTTTTATTTGGATAATGTATTATAAATGTCAATTTTACATAAGGTTAGATAATTACGAAATTTAAAAATTATCTCTTAAAAGAGCAAATTTATCAAAAAAAAATTGAAGGTGTTTTATTTATAGTTATGATAACATAAAATATCAATTAATTTATTAAGGGGAAATATGAAAAAGAAATTAATTTATAAAATAAAATTTTTTTAGGCGAGATCCGGTTCGACCGAGTTTAGGAGAAAATCCCCATTCGTTTTGCCGGATAAGACTTAAGACTTGCTCTAGTCCATACCGGACAGCAGAGTTGTTAAAAGATACTTTTTAAATGAATCTAGATACAGATATATCATCTAAAATAATATCTAATTACAGATATTTTAATAAAAAATCTATCTAGATACAGATACAGATACCACATTTTATATCTAGATACAGGATCTAGATACTTGTATCTAGATCCTTTAACAATTCTGCTGGACAGTGACATATCTTTTATTTTTCCCGAGTATCATAAAACAATAATATTATTTTATTTTAGATGGATTTAAAGCGACAATCTATTTACGAAAAAATATTGACTCTCAAAAAGTTGTTTAACCAAGAAGCCCTAATCCTTAGAGTTTGTTACAGAATTTTTTTTTTACAATTTTTATAACTTTATTTAAGAATTAAAATACTATATTAAGCCTTATCTAGATTAAGAAAAATGAAATTGGTTTGTAAGGATCCTGGAAATTCACTAACTTATTACGCTCTTACCAACCATTTTCGGGCTATTTTTATTTTAAAGATTTTATCAGGAAGTTGTTTTATTGGAAAGAAAGAAGAAAGAAAAAGAGTATTTGATAAAAAAATGAAATATGGTCAAGATAAGGAAAGTTTCCATCTTTTGAGATTTTATTGATTCTAGGATATAATTATAAGATTTTAATCCTTAATTTTATTTATTTATTATAATCGCATTCAACAAATATAAGAATCTCCAAAAGCAATACCTTTACAACCCTTCTTACAAACTCAAACAAGAAATCAATAGTGTCACTCATCGCCTATCGTCGCTTAACGAAAACATTAACAACCTCACCAAAATGGCCGCATATATCGATATGAATCCCGTTCCACTCATGGTTTACCACCACTAGAAAAATTTAATATTTTCTCAGCTGATTTAAATCATTCCCTCCACATTTAATTTTTTTTCCTTTTTATTGAAATGTTTTGCGTAGTTTGATTATTTCTCTCGTAAAATGTATATTATATTTTTAAATTATTCCCCTCATTTCATTTATTCAAGAATCATATCATGGCCACTTCGTCGTCTTACGACGATGGTGACGTCATAGATATTAGAAACCCACCAAGTATAACGACCAGTCGAAAGGAATACGTGACTGAATCCTCCGATCAAAATAGCGCGACCACGCTACATCGCCGCTCCACCGGGTCGGTCTCTTCTTTGGTGAGTTACCCTTATTTTCAAAAGAATTAACCATTTTCGTTGGCATTATTATTTTCTGAAATACTTATTAAATTGCCAGGAAATGATAAACTTAATATCATTCTCTATTAAATACCAAAAATATCCTCAGAGTCTATTCGAACTTATACCCCCCATTTCTATGCATTAACATTAACGAAAATGAACTGGGACGATTTTTTGATTTCTCTATAAGCGTTTAGGCTTTATATATTTTTTTTAATCACCTACTAAAAACGTATATCGTCGGTGGCTGTTATAAATGATCTATATCCATTTTTTTAAATCATTTTTTAGGAGAACATTAAAAAAATATATATTTCTTGTATTTTAGATAGGAAAGTACACCATAATAATGAAAATTAAAGGATATTATTAGAAATTATATTTAGCATTTTTATTGGGATATGGTAGAATGCAGTATTGAAAAATTGATGTATCAGAAAAAATCGATATGGAACACTAATATTCACTTGATGATATTTAGGCTGAAAATTAATTTAGATTTATTTTGTTATTTTCCTCCTAATTATTTGGTTTTTTGAACTTTTTAAATTGTCTCAAAAATGTGAGAAAAAAATCTTGACACGATTAATTATTTATTGTAATGGTGGGGCTTAAAAAAATGAACAAAGCTGGATACCACTATGTACGAAAAGAATAACGCCGAATTCACGCCTTACGTTTACTCATCCTCTCCTCTCAATAGTTTTCAATCGCCCATCAACGGGATGGGGAGCCTTACAGTGCTTAATAATCTCTACCAAACGTCAGAGGGTGCAATTAACGAGGCCCAGGATACCGGAAACTATACGTCAAATCATATATACGAACCCATAAGACATAATATAGAAGGTACATGCCCCCCCTTCGCCATTTTAGGGATCATTTCTTAAAATCAACATTTAAAAATTATTAGATTACGCTTATAAATCTATGACCACTTATCAAATTTTATTTATAGGTAAAATTTTTATACGTAAATAAACAAAAGTTTGAGTAAATTTTAATAATAATTTTTTATTTATATATCGGACCTGGAACAAACCCGATCCTTAGGTTGGTGACTGTAATGTCCGATCCCTGTTTTTTAAAAAATTTTGAACCTTGAATCATACCAAACCGGCGAAATGCACTGGGACCCTGAGTAAATAATTATACAATAATTTTTTATATTTTATTTTTAAAAATAATAAAAAACAGAGAAATCTTCCCAACCTTTTTCAATTCCTCCCTTCAATCGCTCAGCGTGTATTCTCAACGAAGTCTCTAAAAATCAAATTCTCAAACACGCCTTTTCTCTCGAAGACGACGGAAATACATCTGATTCTGAAAAAGTTTTTAAGAAATATATATTATTGAAAATTTATACCAGAATAAAAGTTAGGATGTTTTGGGATAAGGAAATTCTTCGTAACATTCTGGAATTTTTGCCAGACATATTGAGTTATCTGTAATTTCATATGATTAAATAATTTATTTGAACTTAACCCATACCCTTTTTACACTACATTTTTCAAATTATTATTAAAATATTCATTGATATTCGTTTATTTTAAATTAAAAAAATTTTCTTTGTTAATATATTACAAAAACAAATTCGTTAAATAGTTCGAAAATTATGGACCTTTCAACGACATACATTCCTTGAAGAATCATCCGGCTCATTTAGCCATATTTCTCAATTACCTATTTTGTAACAGCGATCCTAATTCATTGGTAATTAAATTTACCAAATTATATAATATTTGGGGTTTTTTAACACATTTCTTATATCAATAATTTGTTTTGAGTCTTACTTTAATTTCTTGACAAGATTTTTATAATTCGAGGATGTTAACAAAATTATAATATAATATTTTTGATCCCCTAAAAGTTATTTTACCTGATCACTGACTATTACATGCATTTTGGAAATCTCAAGGATATGAAACGATGGGCCTACGAAATTCATTCTTCCTTCGTAGTTCCTAAAGCCCCGCTTAAAATTGCGGTTCCGGAAAGTTCTATAATTAGCATAGGTTTTTTTAACGTATTTTTTTTAATAACTAGTTATCGATTGAATTTTATTTATCGTTGTTTTTTATCAAAATAGAAAGAAATTTAAGGTTAGATATTTTTACCTTACAAATATATTTTGTGAGCTAGTTTTTTTCTCATATCAGGCTTTATGTTCTTTCTTTAAATGAAAGAATGAAAGAAAAAAAGTTCACATAATATTTATCAGGAAAATTAAAATAAAATCATTATGTTTTTTTATATAAGATGATGCATTGCAGAATAGTCTAGACAAAGAAGAAATTATGAAATTTATATTCCGTTCAGCTAGGAAACACGTTTTGATCGATATAAGAGAAAAATTGGCTGATTTCAGGCTCAAACGTACTTTGGGTAAAAAATATTTCGATATAAGTGTAGAAAAGGGCAAAAAAAACTTTTAATTTAGTCCTACTGGTGATGCTCAAACTGGGCGAGTCACCATTTTCTATTGGTTTTAAATATAACTAAATATCAGATATAGTGGTATCCATCCTCTATCTTGGTCCATAAGGGCTTATTAATTTTTCCATGACTATCCCATTTTATATTCTCGAATTTTTAATTCGCATTAATTTTTCAGGTCTAAGCAGTATATATGGCGACAATGCAGCGCTAGACGAAACCCTGGATAAAAACAAGATTTCGAAAATAGCGGAGCATATCATGACTTCTATAGTCGAAAAATTGATCAAATATTGGAAAGAAGATCCTTCTTCCTTGGAAACAGTTACAGACAAAAAGTAATTATATCTTGTTTCTCACTTTTAGCTCCTGGCTTGTTAAATAAATTTATTACTTTATATTTAAAGACCTTTAATATTTTATTTTATTATGAAAAAATATCAATAATTATCATGTATTCAGCAGCTGATGGGGACTTAATATACAGTAAGCTATAATAATTTATGCTAACAATATAATTGTATTATCCCCCCCCCCCCCCCCCATGAAATAACAATGTATCCCTAATAAAAGGGAAAAAATTTATTTATCATGGTAAATTTGCCATGCCTTTCATCAGAGACTTTCTTTAACAATAATGAACTTTTTATGTCCCCATCTTGTTATCCTGCCTTTATTAATAGCAGCAATATGGAACCAATCCCCACATCTATAGTTTTAAGTTCCATCACCTTCAAGTGGAAACAATCCCTCATATATTTTCAAGCCGAAATAATATTAATTCAATCCCTATTGTTCAGGCACAGGAATTGATAAATAAATTTATGAAAATCCCATCCACAAGAGCCCACATCCCAGAGAGTGCTCGGATTTTATTTTCACAAAAAATTATTTTTTAACTCCTTATAATAATATTAAAAATTTGGATTAATCTTTGCTAAATTTCTATGCACATCTATCGACCTACATCATACCGTAGCTTTAGATCTCTTGATCAAAAATTCTCAAGCAGCTCATATCCAAATTCTACAAGACAAAGAGATTGGAATTTACTATTGATACAGTTGTCGAATACTTACACTTGAAAGCTGTTCAAAGGAAATTCCAACGATCTAAACCCAACCCTGAGTATACAGGATGACAACAATACGACTCTTTTGCCAGGTCAAATAATTTCAGTCTCAGCCATATGCCGCCTAGAAACAATACCTAGTTCTAAGTTAGGTACTAACCAACATGAACTTAGAATTGCTATCGGTCTTCGATTAGGCTATGAAATCGTAATACCAAAATCACGTGTCCTCTGTAACACTCATATTGGTAGCCTGGGTCATCACCCTCTACACTGTCTTTTTTAAATGGCAAATTATCCATGCACCATGCCATCAATAGAATTCTGAGATCCATAAATATTCCTCTCAAGCTGGAATCCTCTGGCTTCAGCCATGACAATCAAACCAGACCCGATGTGATTAACCTAATACGCTGGAAATTAGGTCTACTTGTGTATATCGTTTTACCGGATCCTTTTCTGTCAACAATATCATGAGTGCAGAAAAAACAAAGACCAATAAATATGGCCATTTAAATAATCTATCGTTTGTTCTAGTAGTTTCAGACACCTGTTGATCATTTGGCCAAGCCCTAGGATTATTTAAAACAATAGGACAATTACCCATAAATACAAGCAGGTGATAGAGGGTCTTTACTTGTGACAAAGATTATTTATCGAAATTTCCCGCCTGAACTTTATATCTATACGTGGGTCATTAAGCCCCGCACCTAACCTAAATATTTATTTTTTAAATAGTTTTCTCCTTCTCTTTAAATATTGTTTTTTTTTAATGTATTTTTTATAGATATGGTATGTTTTTAATATTTATAATCAAAATTTCATCTTATATCTTTTTTAATAGTGAATTTTGAAAATAAAATTTTTTAGTAAACAAAAAAAAGCGAAATACAATTTAAACAAATATAAAACAATTAAAAAGGAAATATAATTAAAACCAATTTATCAAATGATTATATCAGAAATAAGAAAATGAATGCTATAATATTATAAAATATAAATTTAATATTTTTCTTATTTGAAAACAGAATTTAATTAATCATTAAATGTAAATATAATGGAGTTTCTTAAATTATAGATTAAGATAAATTATGTAATCTTCCTGAAATATTAATTTCCTTTGCATCTAAAAAAACTTTTTAAAACATGCTTATTACGTTTGCTATAGTTTAATGCCTTATTTAACGTAACAATAGAATCGCGCTATAACATTTTAACACAGAGATATTAAATCACAATTTGCAAGAACTTTTTATGGTGGGTGAAACTAATTTATTAAAAGAATTTTTCAAATAATGTCTATCCATAAACCCACACTATCAGCATCAGGAATAATTATTATTTGACCAGATTAAAATCCTAACACTAAAAAAAGGTATAAGGTTCTATATTTTATAGGGATTTAGCGATATCACTTTTTGGAAGCCGATCCGATATTCCCGATACATATCTAATTTTGTATTCTGTAAAGATACCAATGGTTTTAATTTTTATTATACTTTTTATTACTATAACATCTATATTTTAACTATACCATAACATATGTCATTTACATATATTATAATAGTCAGTTATAGTTTACATTCAATTCAATTGCAATTCTAAAAGTATATAAAATATTTTTTGTGATAAATCACAAATTTAAATAATAAGTACTAACATTATTCTATTTACATAATAAGTAATAAAAATATATTATGAAATTTGAAATAAATATTTAAATTAATATATCGAAAATTTCTTTTTGGAAATACCAAAATTTGTAATTCATCGGAGGTCAGCCTGGAAATGGGAACTGTAAATATCACCAGCTTCACTAAATACAGATTCTGGAGAGATTATCGCTCACTTTTATAAATAGAATGCGCCAAAAAATAACAATATGGCAGAATATTTATTAATTAATTATTATTAAAAAAAAATAAACAAAAAAATGGATTTCAATTTTATTTATAAAAATAAATGATTTTAGATATAACTTTTTTTTTAAATTTTATAACATTTTATCTTTGTTAAAAACGCCATTTTATATCGGATCGGAAATTTTTTATAATATTGGTAGATAACCGATATTTTAAAATGGGTGAAATATCGACCCGATCCGATCTGATAAATCCCTAATATTTTAACACATTTAAAACTTTTAACACAAATGTACACAGCTCCCTGCTTCTCTCCGCATTTCTGACCGTATGCCGTTTTATGGGAGGATTTTGCAAAAGCTTTAACTCTAGCAGTATCTCCGCTAATCCTCTGAATCTGACTGCCCCCAATTCTTCGTCTCTCATTTCATTCTTCGCCATTCAAGACAGGATTCCTTCCTTTTGCGGCAAGGAAAAATCTCAAGCTAGGTTCAAATTTGCCTCTAAAAAGAGCAAAGCACTAAGCACTATGGGTCACTCATTCTTACCTCACCATTATATGTCCCTGACCTTTTGTAACCGGTGTCATGATATCGTCAGAGGCATAGGCTTCCAGGGGCTTCAATGCCAAAGTAATTGTCTTTTATTTTGGATTGTATTAAATGAAGTATATTGGATGCCATATAAAAGTTTTTATTTCAGTAGGTAATTTATGAGACATTCAGATCCAGTGTATGCTAGTATCCCTTCTACCCAAAATACTCAGTTTTTTGGCCTGGTTTGGGTATCTTTATTTCGTCATTTTTATTTCAATTTCCCAGCCTTAATTTCAAAATTCCGAAAAGAATAACTTAGGTCTTAAGAATAAATATTCTTTAATATTGATTATAGTATTCAGCTCAGCATAAGGAGATAATTTTGTTTAGAGCCAATGAAAAGATGAATTATGAAATATTTTGAAATATGAAACCAGCAATGTTAATGTAAATTAATGTTTTTTATAAAATCTTATTAAAATTGTTATGGGATGGTTTATATATATATCAGCCGATTCGATATTGTAAAGGTAAAACTAGTGCGGTTTTGTGGGGGAGGGGGATTTATGCTCGACACAAGATGTAAATTTGATTTCACATTTCAGTCATTCCTAATTTCGTATTCTAGCTCTTTCTATTAGTATGATATCGATTATATATAAAATAATAAGGTTATGCAAATCTTATATAAAAACAAACATATCAAGGTTGTCAATACAATACTCACAAACCCTGTCTAGATTCCATCGAAGAATATTGTGTTGGAATCCACTTAAAACCATTTTCAAACGTTTCTTCCTCGACTCCACAACAGAATTATCATAGTTCTCTTATTCCTCCCTCCCTAAACAGCATCAACCATAATTTTTCCCAAATATCCTCACCGGCCATCAGCAGCAGTTCGGCTTCGATAACCAATGCCGTTTCAGGGTCCAATAAACCTACCCAAGTTCCTAATGCCAGTTCTGGCTCCTTCGTATCCAATATCATGCGGAGGCGGGAAACGAAAAGCATGTTTATGCCATCCCCACCAACTGCTCATCTAAATATTATGAGTTTAATTTACTTTTTACGCCTTAAAAATATTTTGATAGCAATCTTGGAAAATTATAATTACAAATATCATGAAAAAATAAAAATAAAACTGATGATTTTAAAAATCTAGTTATAAATAAGATATAAATCCATTAATGTAACTTCTGATTTTATTTGGATTTTGCAATTGTTTTAATTTTATATATATATGTCTGGTCTTGCATTATTTTGTGTTATATTTAAATTTTGTCCCAAATTTCCCCTCTTTTTTTGAAATTTGGCAATCATCTTCCATTTCTTCCTAGGAATCTTGATAAAAGAATTTCTCTTTTAAATCAAATTGAACTTAAGTGATGGAAAAAACTAGATTTGAATTTTAACAATGGTTCGGCATTAAATGTTGTTGATATCGCATTCTTTTATTATTATTATCATCTTTATCTTCCAGTTGTGATAGTAGTTTTAATTTCTTCAGCCTTTTACAAATTTACCTAGACTTCATTGATAATATATTTGTTTTGGTTTTGATGGTTTTTTTTAATCATGTTTTAAATTGGTTGTCAATTATATCATGATTGTTCAGAAAATTGGCTAATATTGATAGATATAATTTAACCATAAAATATAAATTATAAGAATTCCATTGAAATGATCTGAACTTTCCTCTTTCACTTTAGGGATGTAGGGATTAGGTTGGGTTCGATTAGACCAGAATTTAATGCTTGATAGGTAATTAAACTCAGGTACAGTGATTAAGCCCTGGTGGTAATAAAATAATCTATTTGTTCAAAATTATAAGTATCTTTATTTAAATAACATTTAAATATCAATTTTTAAAGTAAAATAAAATATTTTAATAAAAGTCAAAAAATGAATATTATCAATATTATTGATATCTATATAAGTAATTTTGTTTTATTTGTTAATATGAAAGTAAATTGTATGGTTTTTATACATAGCAAAATATCCCCTCAGAACAGTAAAAAAATATAAACATTTTAAATATAAATTGGACATATTATAATAAGAAAATATCGCATCAGAACAGTAAAAAAATAAACATTTTAAATATAAATTGAACATATTATATCATCAAAATTTGGGCTAAATCTAAGTAAGTTACATGGATTTTAAATTTAAGTGGCACTCTTTTATTCTTACTAGTCAATCTATAAAATACTTTATTATTTTGCAAAGAAATTTATTTATACTAATTTGTAGGTTTATTGTTAAATTTAAATTCTTTCAAAGATTAATTGAAATAATCTTAAATTATAATCCTACCAAACCCACTATAAATTATTAGATTTTTTTTTAAGTTAAAGCTAAAAGTGTATTGCGTCTTTTGTAAATAATAATCTTTACTTGCACATAAAATAATTAATTAATGTAAAACTCCCCTTTTTTAACACGAAACCAAACAGTTCCCACCTATCCTCCATCAAGTCACGCTCTTGAAAAGGCTAAAAAACGTTTAGAAAGCAAAGATTATAATATCCACATACCATTTATTACTACGAATGATTTAAATCATAATTCGGGAAACTATCAACAATCACAGTCACACCCTTATCCATCTTCCATTGGTATATTAGTTTTATACAATTTTGAAAAAAAACTATTTGGCCTAACCTGGTTCTTCTTCTTTTTGAAACTTGTTTCTGTTTAGTCCATACCATACTAAGCAGATTTTGAACTAGGACACCCTATTTTGGTATATATTTGTTATATATTTTTAGTACAAATAAAAAGACTCATTGTCTTATACCTATATCAAAATGGACTCTTCTTTTTAGGGTGTTTAGATGAGGCCATATGGCTAAAGAGATTACTATTTAGAAATAAGGCGAACCAGGACACGACCTTAAAACTTTGGTCAATAAGAGAAAGATTTATAATATAGACAAGTTAAGAAGACAATTTTTTTTAATAATCAAAATGATTTAGGTAGTTAATGATATCTCCATCAGCATTCCATCATGTTTTCTTATAGACGCCGAAGTTTCTATTAAATCAAACGAATGTAATTTAGGGTTATCTTGTCTATAATTTAGAATCTTCGTTATAAAGGTGAAATTTCCTCCTTTACAAAATATAGACGTTCATTTTTTTTTAAATGGGTTTGTATATCAGTTTTCAGTACTAAATAAATTATATATTAATATGTCTATTCGATCTCTCATGATTTATCATGAATCTAAATAATTTTACTAATTAAAGCAAGAGCATAACCAACACCTGGCTGCTCCGGGAAACCCATTAACAGATTTAGCTGCCACAATGAGCCCTAAATTATTAGTCTATAAAAGTATTTATTTGGGGGAAGAGGGGGCGGGAATATTTGCTATATTTAAGTCATAAGTAAATATTTTTGAGTTTATCTCATTAATTGATAATTTTAAGTTTTAATATACTTCGTACTACAATAACATAATATCCTATAAAATTCACTTTTGCTTATATCCCCAAAAAAGCCGAAGCCATAAACGAGGATTCTCTAGAAGAAGAACCTATCATTCCAACTTCCTCGTCCAACAGCAGAAAGTCTATTTCCGGTATTAAGCTACCCAAAACTAACGGTCCAGACATTGTAAACGATTCATCGATCCACACTAACGACGCTGCCGATAAAACTTCCCGTAAAGCACATAAATCTCCTCTCAAGCAATCCTCCTCGGTGCTCAGGAATAATTTTTTATCCGGCAACCATCAAAATCAAAATTTGCCCCAATCGAACTCCTTTTCTACCGGTAACAACGAGAAAGCTACCTTTTTCCTCTCCAGGACGTCCAATAGCATAATCCCCAATTTTTCTAATCGGTGGTTCAGCGATTCTAACAAGCACAGGAACGAACCCTCGAACAGTATAGATAGTTGCGACAACAAAATGCCGGGTAGCGACAAAAGTAGCACTAATACCGCTAGTACGACCACCGTTGCTCATGTAGGAAGGTCCGAGAGTATGAAGGCCAAAGTGAGGGATACGTTCGTTTTTTTTGTAACTTGCAAAAAAATTGTTTTAAGAGATAGTAAGTTAGGATTTCTTATTCACTTATTAGCAAGTTAACTCAATGCCACTTGCTATGCTTTTTTTTAAAAATAATTTTTCCGATTAAAATGGCGCAATTCAAATTGTTTGTTAGGACGTATACATAAATTTTATTGGTGAAGCTTAATTAAACATAAATATTTAATTAGGGCGAAAATAAATACCCTCGTAAAAAGAGCGATACAACTAATGTTCCTAGATCAAAAAGGTTAAAAAAAATTTTTTTAGTTTGACATATTTTATAAAATTTTTATGTCTTATATTTTCTTTACATTCTATTATCTTCATCACTTAAATATCGAATACAATTTCTACCATACTTTTTAATTCCTGCATTTTGTGTTTTTTTTATCATTCTTTTTTGGGTTTTAACAATTTAAGCATCAGGTCTCTTGAAGATAATGTACTATGGTTTTGTGATGACTTTCTTGTGACGAATTTTAATCGATAAATATTTTTATAGTGATATAGCACAAAAGGCTGCCTCTTCTGAACAGGTTACGGAAATAGACCTACCTAAACCCGTTTTAGTCAAATCCTCCAAAAGGTAATATGGATAGAGTTTTTTTTAAAATATTATTGTAAATTTATTTAACATTAAATTAAACAATATTTTAGCAGTTTTTCGACTAATTATTGTGTTAGAAAATATTTTAGGTATATGATATAAATTGAAAATGCCTATGCTTACATACATGTTATATAATTTATTTTTATCAAAGTTATAAGAACTCCCCCCACAACCCCTCTAATCTATATCATAATTTACATTACAGATCCTTCGATTTCACTTCCAGCTTCAATTCCAAACCACAATCCGACAATGCATTGATTTCCAATGGTACCGCATCTAATCAATTATCGATTCTAGCCAATAATCAGTCAGCAACGACTAACAACTCTTCATCCTCCCTCCTCAAATATATGGAACTATTGAACCTCAATTTCGACGACCCGGACCTGGACACCGAGCCGGGCATTCCCAATTGGCAAAAGTCCGTCGATTGGGAACACCTCAAAAAAATGAAGCCCAAAGAAGTTAAGAGGCAGGACGTTATAAGCGGTATTATAAAAGAGCTATTAATTTTTTATTGACCCTGAAAATCTTTTATAATAGCGTTAACAACTCCCAAAAAAATCTGAGATATTAAATAAATCTTAATCTTTATGATTTTTAATTATTTGCATTTTCAAACTTGGAAAAAAACTGAAAATATATTTTTTTTAAGAAAAATCTATTGTATAAAAAGTTATCTTATTATGAAATCATTTTTTAAATCTAGTTATTAATACCTTTTTTTAGGAGTTGTTAATCTTCTATACCCTATTTAAAAATTCCGTTGCGTAATGTCAACATAATAATACTTTTAAATTTTTACATGATTTTAAAATAATTATACACCGCACAATTTTAATAGATTGTTGGTAACTTTGAACCCAGCTTGCCCACCCCACCCCCACTCCCTCCATCTTTATTATTTTATTTTATTTAAATATATGAATTTTTTAGATTTTCAATTCTGAATATTAAAATATAAAAAATTTTTTTTGAAATAGTATAAATATTAAACACTAATCTATTTTAATAAATGAGAATACGAGCAGGATTTTGTGTGATCACCTTATCGAGGTTTCGAAATATTACCATATGATTATTTGCATGTTATTGTTTATAGAATTATTTCACACCGAAAAAAATCACGTGCGTAATCTAAAGGTGCTAGATTACATATTTTACCGACCCATGAAACTCGAAAATTTGGTTTCGGAAGAATTGCTAGACAGGCTTTTCCCTAATTTAGACGAACTATTAAGGATACACGGTATAAAAATACAAAAAAAAATTATATTTTTTTAAATTAATAATATCAAATTATTTATTAACGATCCTTTTTGTGGATCTTCTATACAATTTGTTGGACTATGCTTTATAAGTTTTTTTATAAAATTGATTTTCAAGTTCCCGAGCATCTTTGTTGATTAGGAAAGGTGATTTTTCGTTTTATTATGAAATATACGGATGATTTTAATATTTATTCAAGGTTAAAATTTGAATCTTTCTTAATACCTATCTCACCCAACAACAAAAAATAAATCTCAGCATTTCCCAGTATTGAGCATTATTGTCATAAACTTTTAAATGATACCGTGAAAATTTTTCACCCCCCTCCCCCTCCAATTATTTCATTTTTCAAAAGGCGAATTGAATTCTTTTATTTTTCGAAAGGCGAATTGAATCAAAAAATGAAAATGAAAAAATCGGAAAACGTTATTATCGATTCGATCGGCCCGATGCTGTTAGATTTCGTAAGACAAAATTAAAATCAAGAAAATAATATATTATTATAATATGTTTAAGAAAATTGTCATTTATAAGAATAATATAAACAACCCCTCCCCCCCCCCCCGTTAAATAAACCCATAAAATTTTTTTTATAATGATTTCCTAATAATTTGATTCACGATTGTATAGTCAAATTTGCATAAAAAAGATTAATATTTGACAAGTTTTAATAATAAATAATTTTTTCTAGTTATAAATGGAAACATAAATAATCATATTTATTTGATCTCTTAAAATAAGATCATTATTACTTGAGCCAGAAATTGGGGAAGGGGTGGTTATTTACTTTTGGTAGATTCAATTTGAATTTTTCAAAATAATATAAGGATAATTTCCTTCATTAGGAGAGGTGCTTAACACCCTCTTCCCCTCTTATAATTTTTTATTTTTAAGCACCTAAGTTTCCATAAAAAATTTTTAGATGAATATTAAGTTGCTAATTCAAATATTATCACTTAAACAAACCAGAAAAATGTCAATATAGCTTTTTTTTAAAAAATATTGATTTTTCCCATAGTTAAAAAACTTCAAATTAAAATCTATCTTATATATTTCTGATATTTTTTTTGAAAAAAAACAATAGTAAGGAGTGAGTGTATAGTTTCAGCATTATTAAGGATTACACTTTTGGTGATATATCAATATATCTTATTCATATTAAAATAACAGTTCGACGGCGTCTCAGGCTTAGAATTTCAAACGGCTTGCGCCAGGTTTTGCGAAAACCAGACCCTAGCCCTCGAAGCTCTTAAACTGAAGCAACGTAAGGAAAGCAAACTCATGTCCTTTCTCTGCGAAGCCGAATCAAATCCCTTATGCCGGAGACTGCAATTAAAAGATTTAGTTCCTTGCGAGATGCAAAGGTCCATATTTTTCCATTTTGTCATCAAAATCTTTTGAACTATTTTTTTAATAGGAATTACTACTAAAAATACCGATTTATTTCGATTTAAGAATAATGACATTAGTATTTATACAAACCTCATTTTGATTATGAATTAATCTGAACGCCTTACTTTTCGTCAATGCCAAACGATTTTTGAATATTATTAATAAACTCTTTTTTAAGATAAGCGTGCTTAATTTTTTAAAAAGATATTATACTATGATACTCAAATTAAACCGCGCGAAGCCCAGGCGACACAATCTCATCTAACATAAAATTCACATTAAACTAAACAATATTTGGTTTATTTATAAAAAGCAAATACATAAAATTACTACTCCTTCAAATATATCACACATAATAATCACAGAAGTTGATATTTTGATAAATATAGGATATTTGTTGATAAAATAATACCATAAGTAAAATAAGTTATTCTATTAAACACACGTTCATACTCACAAATAGATTGACCAAGTACCCTTTGCTAATTGAGAACGTCATGAAATATACTGCCATTAGCGAAACGGACGAAAAGGGAGAAACAATCGAATACAAGGACTTGGCCGTCTCTTATGAAAGGTATGTATTACATTTCCCTTGTTATTGTTGATGAAGATTTAGGGAGATCCGTTATACATGGAAAGTAGGCGGCCCATTTATATTAGGCTAAGGAATTAGTCATAGAAGGTAAGGCAAGGGAAGATAAATCGCCACAATAAATGGTGGAATTTGAGTATTGACTGAACCAGAATGACATTCGTCAGGAATAAATAGCTGAGGAGGGTTTCTGACGGTAAAAGGAGTTATTGACAAGCAAACCCATAATAAAGAGATTTAATAAAAATAGTTCTTATTTTGTTTAGAGCCCGTTCCATATTAGCGCACGTTAACGAGTCCGTCAGGGAAGCCGAAAATTATCAACGGCTCATAGAAGTGGAATCTCGGCTTGACAAATCTGCCCTCGAACGGGCTTACGAAAAAGTGCACGATAACCCGAAACTTCAAGAACTTAAGAATCTCAAGCTAACTTCCAAGAGACTAATCATGGAAGGCAATCTGCAATGGAAATGTTCGCGAACAAAAACAGTTGAAATTTATGCCCTCTTGCTTGAGGATTTGTTACTGATCACGCAGAAACAGGTAATATTGATATAATTTTATTTTAGGAGACGGAAAAAGGAAAGAAAAACAAAATGATTAATATGTTTTTTTTTAAATTAATCGTTTCTTTTTTTCAAAAAAAAACATTTTATAGGATGAGCGATACATTCTCAAATTTCAATCTACTAACGTAACTCCGGCCAAAGAAGAATCAAAATTATCACATAGTCCTGTCATAAAGCTAAATAATCTTTTGACCAAAAATGTTGCCACAGGTTTAAAAAAAATTGAATGCGCAATTTTAATGTTATTACTTTACAATGTATAAATACTCAAATATTTACATTATTTTTGGTTCAACTTTATAAAAACTTAAATCGGGACAAATGTCAAATTTTTGATCACAGAATTCAAGAGTAGTTCTACATCGAAAATTTTCGAATTTATTCTAAATTAATAATATAAATTTTATTTTTTTTTCATAGACAAAAGGGCATTTTTCTTAGTTAGCACTGTGAGCGAAGGCCCACAACTATACGAACTTATAGCCTCTACGTCTAACGAGAGAAAACAGTAATTTTAAATTAGCAACATTTCTTTTTCGTTTTTAATTAAGTTACTGATATTTTTTATGTATGTTAATTTTTAAAATATATTTTGAAAACGAAAAAAACACTCTTTATATGTTTTATGACTTAGTTTTAAAAAAAAGAATTTTCTTCTCGTCAATAATATCTTTAAATATATAAGTTTTTATATCCTACAAACAAATAACGCAAGATGGCTACTTAACATCGAAAAAACGATCGAAAAACTCAAAGGGATCAAGACATCTGCCTCTATTCCCAAATGCAACCTTTCTTCGATCACAACCTCTGCGGGTGCTTCTAGGCACTCCTCCGACCCCACGAGTGGCGCAAAAGAAGCCGAAAAATCTTCCAAACAGCCTCCAAACATTAAAAATGGCTCGCTGGAGGCTTTGAAGTATATATTCCCTTTCTGAATTCTCTATATTTACATTATTTATACGTCGAATTAAGTATCAAGGTTTTGTCCTGCTCCGACTTATTTTTGGGCTAAACAGCTTCAAATAGAACACCCTATTTTTGTTTGTATTAAATATTTAGTAGCACGAATATTTTTCGTCGTTTTTTTTGCTTTTTAGGTTGTTTAGTAATAAGTCGACCCAGGACACGTCAAAGTACTTTATTAGCTGGATTTTGTTGTCTAACTACTTATGTGACTAAAATTGGCTTAGCCAAAACATACACTAAGCCTAGCTGATTTTTTTCTTCATCGAAAACCTCGAGATTGAGCTGATAGTTTCTGGTTAGGCCGTTTGTATTCGGTTCAAACGCAGAGATTTGTCAACATTAGTTTGATGCTACATTAAATGATACGCGAAATGGGAGGAATAAACTTTTTTAATTTCGAAAAAAATTATTTTAAAGTATTATTCTATAGAATCAGCAGTAAACCCCACTCATTCTATCCTTTTAATTTGTTAACATCTTTTTATATTTAACCCTTTTTTTAAATATTCCAAACTCGTTAACATCCCCCCCAAATAAATATAATAATTATTAATTAATCAAATCAAATATTTTAAAAGTATCGATCTACCTCCCGATTTATTGACACCGGAGCTCCCTCCACAAACGCCTGAAGAGGACCACCCAAAGTCACAACAAGAAGAGGACATGGAAGAGGAAGAAGAACAAGAATTGGTAGAATACGTCGCCACACCGCAATTGGTAAGGCCCTGCGAGGTAGTAGTGAGAGACCCTCTGCCTTCTTGTCGGGCCCACCCCATTCTCTCCCTCTATGAACAACTTAGGCGCGCCGACCTCGCCCTCAATTCCGCCCTTGCTAACAAGCGGGATATTGTATCGCGCGTTTTATCTTTTCACGCCTCTGCCCACCCAAAAATAGATGGTAAAAACATATTCCAAGCCAAATCGAATATTCTCACACCAAGCGATATAACGCATCAATCAAGCGACTTATTACACAGCGAGGAATCGACGGATGATCACCTTACATGGAAAACATTCTCTGAGCAAGAAGTAAGGATGGGTGACGATGAAGGAATCATCCTTGCCAGAGCGTTGGACAAAGCCAAAGAGCTCAGGGACAGATTGAAAATGTTTGAAAACGTCGAAAAGATACAACATATGGATTCCACTACCAGCTTGGATGATAGATCCGAGAGAGGATTTTTGAAAAATGACGAAGCGGGTATCGAGAAAGCTGACGCTAAAGGGTAATAATTATAATTATGTAGAGATTACTTCGGCTAAAAAAAAAGTCCTGTTCTGAAAATTTCTTAAAGAGCAGTTTCGATTCATAAAAAATATTTTTAAAAGAAGTTATAGCTACAGTTTTCTTATTTGACTCGATTCTGGTTTCGAGTTTCCTATTTGACTCGGTTATGGTTTCAGTTTTCTTTTTGATTCGGTTCTGTTTTTTATTTGACTCGGACCTGGTTTCGGTTTCAAATATCTGTTAATAAACAATATGTCGAAAAATTTAAACAAATCATTTAAAATGTATCGCGCATTTTCTTTTTACAAATCACCACGTATTTCTTATGTTCGTATAAAATATCGCTCATTATATATTATGACCACATTATGGAATGGATTATATTGGATATCAAATTGAAACCGGTATTCGAATTCGTAACAAATCTAAGCACTCTAAAAGAATCCATTTTTAAATTTTCGACATCCGGTTCCAACAAAAGTATATGCAACTAATTTATGTATCATCTTCAAAGATGTTCTGTCATTAAAACAAATTTTTTTTTAAAATCTAGTCTGAAAAATGACCAAGAGTGGCCCTTCGTTCACAAGGCTCTCGGTTTGATGGAAATCAAAGACGATTTATTTATCATATCTACGTCACTCAATTTCGAATTGACCCGCTTGATGCATTTTTTCTGTAAACGAGGAGCCTTCGATTCGTCAACAACCTCAAAAAATTGCACGGATTTTTTCTCCATAGATGGAACATCTGACGATGATGCTTATAAAAATTATCAATACAACAAACCCGAAAATACTGGGGAACCTTTAATCATCCAAAGGTCAGAGATAATTAAGGCCCAACCTTTGAGTCTTGTTAAAAATGATGCCCCAAATCATCCACATTTGGATTCGCTCCACGATGACGACGAGGTTGGAAAAGATTACTCGGAAGATATCCATATTGAAATTCTTCGCGAAACCAACGCCCCTGATTTAGTTCCAGATTCAAGCAAAGATTATTTGACGGATGGATTGGAATCGGAAGGTTTTACGATTAATATTTTAGGAAATACGATAACTAGTATATATATAGTAAAGGGACGCGAATTCCGCCGGCTGTACAACAAATTATTATTAGGGTCCGGGCCTGAAATTTACAATTTTTTTTATGGTTTTTAGTCGAAATTATGTATTTTTTCCTTAATTAAAATTTTTTCAACGGGTCGGGCTGAGTTGAAAAATATTTTAAAAAAATTTCGATACTAAATTAGAACACCCGAAGAAACATCATTGGTTGGCAGACCTATAGAAACTCTTTTAGTATAATTTTTATCTTATGCCAATTATTATTTTCCTCGTAAAATTTTAAAATTATAATATTTATTTTTCATCAGAACACCAACTCATCGACCATTGCATCAAGCACGTGGAAACCACCTTAGAGAGCATCGATGAAGTCACAAACTCATCATCACTTATATATTTCGAATATCGAACCGTAAATGATAACGAAAAGGTTCCGCTTATTCTCGAAGCGGCCGGTTCAAAATGTCTGAAAAATAATAATTTCGACGAAAAAGCTATATTATCACTTGTGGAAAAGACTTAAGTTCATCCCGTACCCCTCTCGCCAAGAGAATCGATGGGAAACAAAATTGTGATAAATCTATAATTGATATCCTAATCGTTATTTATTTGACATAAATCCCAACTTATTTTGTAATTCCATATACTAATATTATGATCTATCAGTTTTTTTAAAAAATTTCATTCCCAAGTTACAAACAAATCATAATTCCTTAAACCAATATGTTATTATATATTTTTTTAAATATACTATAAATATCTCTAAATGATATAGTTGGTTATTTTTTACACCATTAATATAAACTTATATAATTAGTACTAGATTCGATATTTTTCCAAAAATTCGAAGAATTTTTCTTCCTTTTTTATAGTGATTTTAATCTCACAAAGTAAATAAGATTTACTTACAAAACTAACTGTATTATTATTGTAAAAAAAAGTTAAAAATTTAAACGCATGCGCATTATATACCATAATATAATATATTGATAAGAAAATTTTCCAAATTAAAAATTATGGATTTATAACCACCGATTTTTTGTTTCAATTAAAAAATATATTATATATTATTTTTTTGCTTTATAAATACTTTTTTTTTCTTTTCTTTTTTTTATTACTATTTTGTATTTTTCCCTCCTATTTTTTTTTTAAAATAAGATGGAAAATAATTTTATATACATATATTTATTTAATTCACAAGCAATAATAATAAATGAATTTCAAAACCAAAATTTTGATTATTTATTAGCAATTTTTATTTGAATTATTAATTTCGTCCTTGCTCAATTTTTTTTTATCCTAATTCTATTTTTTGCAGGATCCTGGACCTCTGGACTCGAGGAATTCTTTTTTCCCGAGCTCGTACTAAATCTGGACCTCAAAATATTTAGGTTTATGAACCCAGTCTTTAATTGATTTCTCACACTAATTTTAGGTTGTCCAAAGTTGATTTATATGTTTTTTTTGCTCTTAGGCTACTTGCAAACACGACGCTTTTTGGTTTTCGCAATATTTTTTACTTCCAAACAAGCATATATTATACAGATGATTTTTTATACAATTGAATCTTATAACAAGATATTTTATTTTGAGACATTACAAAAAAACGCAAAGTAACTATAATATATTAAGAAAGAGATCTGTATATGATCTATATCAATTTTGATTCCCAATTCTTTCACTATCTTGGACTATCCAGAAATTTTTTCTATTACATACTTTACAAAATTGAAAATAAAATTTTGCATATACAAACAAATGCAAAAACAACGATACTCCTGAAAAAAGAGACTATTTGTTACTTTAAGGTGATATATTTAGCTATTAAAATATATAAACCATTTAATATACTTAAGAACAAGCCTTAATTACTCTTAACTATCCTATAGTAGCAGATTAAGTAAAAGTTTCATTGCTACTATCATTCCAGAGGTATGTGATGCTATATGGAATATTCATATGCCAGCTCCAACAAGAGAACATTGGAAGAAGGTATTATAAATTTAAATATTAATATATTTTTAGATTGCACAAAAATAATTTTATTTAAATAAAGTTTATGTTTGTTTTGATTTATTAAAAAAAATATTAATTATTTTATATTATAAATTATTAGCTTACTAATAAATAATATTTAATTAAAAAGTCTGATTAAAAATTCTTATTATAAATTAGTTAACATTAGGTGATTCAATATAAAGAGTCTTGTTCTACTTTTTAGCACATAATGTCCATAGTTCATCGACTAATAATCTATTAGAATAATTATCATTACATTGGTTCCATAGACGTCATGAGCTTCTACAAAATTTATCAAACTTAGTGCAATGGAAATAAGAGATCTTTTTTTAAAAAAAATCGGGTTCTGGCTGTGTCGGGCTTAATATTTTTAAAAAAAATTCGGGTCGGGTCAGGCCTTGGAAATTTTTTTAATATATCGAATTTTATCAATTTTGTGTTGAATTTTTAATGTAAAATAAAAATAGATGCCATATAACATATATCTTTTATTTTGAGTTACTATAAAAATTAATTTCTATATCTGAATAAATTCAGGCCGGGCAGGGCTGGTAAATTTTTTTTAAAAAAATTTTGGGTTCGGGCCGGGTCGGCAAAACTTTTTAAAAAATATTTCGGGCCGGCATCTGGAGATTATTAATATAATTTTAAAACAAAGAAACATTTTAAATGCAGCATTTGATATGCTGGACTTTCCTTGTCTAGATTTTATGTTGTTTCACGAATCTATGAACAAAACTGATGCCCATGCAGGCAGATATATATCGAATATTTGAGGAATGTTCTAAAGAAAATCCCATAAATTTCTCTATTTTTAATTTATATATTAGAATCGGGTTAATAATTACAAAATTTATGTAGGATAAAGATTTAAAATTTTATTTGAAAATATTAAAGATAGGGTTTTATATTATTTGAATTTTAACAATAAATATTTATTAAAATTCAAATCAAATAATGAAGCTTACTTAATAAACCATTGCTTAAAAAGGTTGTAAAGGTGAATAAAATTAGCTTTTTTTGAAATAAAACACAGTGTTAGGACTAATTTTTATCGTAAATTTATTCAATTTTTCATTTAGTTTTCATTTAAAAAAATATTTTTTCTTATTCAGCTGTTTTGTCAAATATTTTCACACGTTCCGTTTCTGGATAGTATACTTATATATTTTTATTTGAAATGGTTTATATTATAACATGATTAATTTTATAAATTACATTTATCCGGCATTAAAATGGTCTTGAATAAGGTTTTCACAAAACAAAAAGACTAAGAAAAGCACTTACATCAAATTTAAAGAAATTTATAAATAAATCAAGAATTGAAGAAACCTCAGGACGAAAACCTTCATTAGATGAAATATTGACTATTTTATACTAAAATCCTTTTTCATAAAATATAATATGGCGATTACCTTTAGCTCCTGTTGAACCCGTTTCCGCATAATCAATTGCATTCTAACGAAGTATGATTTATATTTTATTGTTGTTTAATGTTTTAAGGCATTTATTCGGGTTCACTAATTTGAACGCATTCCTTTTGTATAACAACGAACGCAAATTATTTCGTTTTTAGAAAAAATGTTAAATTAAATATTATTGATAAAAGGTGTTTTAGTAAATTTAACATGAAATAATGCAGAATTCGATTTTTTTTTTTACACGTTTAGCATTTATATTAGACAATTTATCTAATATTCATATTTGAGTAATTATGGTTGACCTGATTTATTCACCATATCAGACGCTATAATCTTTGATAAAAAAAATCATAGAAGAAGAAATCGAATTTCCATCATACAAAAAATATTTTAAACTTCTAAAAGATGTTGATCCAATGATCAAACAAATTTAAGGGCAAAATATGCCTTTTGTGTTTAAGTAAAAGTGTTTCATTTTCAAAAGTGAGCAGCTCCAATCTAAAAAAGCATCTTAAAGTAAAAAATCTTTCTTTACGAAATTATTACTATATTTTTTTTATTTGGAATAATTTTTTTAAAATGGTTATAATTATTTTTGGGCAATTCATTATAGTTGACCCTGGGTCGTTAAATATGATTCTTTTTTTAAATATATTTTAATATTTATTTTAATTTTCTCATTTCTTGTTCAACCTCCTTTTTTATACCTGAATTAAAAAATATCTATAAAATACAATACCCCGTTTCCCTCTAGCTCTATGGAGCGCTTATTTAGTATTGCAAAGCAGGTCTTAGGGGAGAGGCATGGATGTTTGTTAGATTCTAATTTAGAAAATTTATTACTTTTAAAGGCTAATAAAAGATTGTAAATTTTTTGATAGATCATTTAATATAAATAAAACATTTTGAAAAAAAAAATAGGATTTTTCGTGTACCTTCTAAAAAATGAAAATCAAAGTAGCGGTTATGGAGTGGCACTCCATTACTTGGAGCGGGAGCAAAGTTACCAGATGTCACAATTTAGCCGTGATTCTCACGATTTCATACCTAATTTTTTACTTACCCACGTTTTCTTACACTTCACGTTTTTTGAGTAAATTAAAATAATCACACTTAGTCTCACACTTTTTCTCACGTTTTTAGATTTTTTCAAGATATTTTTAAATTTTTTTAAAATATTTTTAAAAACAAATATAAAATTTAAATTAATTTTATTTTAAAATATTTAAAAAAATTGTAGTATTTGTTAATTTTCCAACTAACCAATCATATTCATTGATCAATTACCCACAACACAAATTTAATTTTTAGAAAGTTTCTCAAGTATAATAATAATATGAATTTAAATAATTATACATTTCTTTTATGGATTATATAGATCTTATATTAAAACTCGTAAAATGTTAAATGAAATAAACTAATTGTACATACACTCACAAATTATAATTAGTTTAATTTAACTTAGATATTGCTAAATTAACAATCAAATTAAGAAATATCTAAAAACATTAATTGCTAGAGTTGATTAATTAGATTCAGGATCATTTTTATAAAATAACTAAGTAAAATAATTTATAATAAAGTTAATATCTATTCAGTAGATCAGATTATTATTTAATTGCTAATTTATAATTTGATTTATTCTGTATCTTCTTAAAACCTCATTTTATCTAAAAATTTATTGTAATATCTATTTCTTGAACTTGTTACAGGATTTGCAAATTTAAAATATTTCAGGAGGCTCATCCTCAAGTAATAATAAGATAAGTTATAATAAAAGTTGGGAACGAAAATATGAATGGTTAATGCAGCATTCAGAGTCGACTGTAAAACGTGGTATATGTGCATCACGCTTTTCAATAAGTCAAAGTGGAGAGTATGATATGATCAAACATATGAAATCTAACAAACATAAGCTGACAAATGAACAATCTAGAACCAATACTTCTATATCATCATACGTAACCGAATATTCTAAGAATGAAACCTTGTCTGTTATTGCTGGAACAACATTATATCATTCCATAAAACATTCCCATAGCTATATGTCGGCTGATTGTTCAAGCAAGCTATTTTACAAACTTTTTCCTGACTCTAAAATTGCATCAATATTTTCATGTGGCAGAACAAAAGGTTTTAAAATAATACAAAATATTTTGGCACCAGAAACAAAGGCAAATATTATAAAAGATCTAAAAAACAATCATCCGTTTTCCTAACAGATGTATAGAATAAAGTTAATATAAAAACATTTCCCTTATTACTTAGATACTTCAACAAAACGAATGGAATAAATGTTTAATTACTTAAAACAATTTCGTCTGATAGTGAAACCCCTAAAGACATATCTAGATACTTGCTGGAAAATTTAAAATTCGCTGAACTTGATATTGCTAATGTAACGGCCTATTGTGCAGATAACGCATCTGTAAACTTTGGGAAAAATTAAAGATTTTGAACAGAATTGAAAAGACATAATAATATTATACCAATGGGTTGTA